CTCCCTCATTTCCTTTTTGTAAGCTTCATTGAGTGTCGTTTGTTTGCCTTTCTCATTCTTTCGATTCAAAACTACTGACTCTGGATTAGGAGTAAAAAATGCATCAATTGGACCTTTCTGCCTTGGCTTCTTAGGGTCTAAACTTGGCCTTTGACTAGAAGGTCTCTTACTCGAACTAGTTATGATCAAATCATCCTCATCTTCATCATCCATTCCGAAATCTTGATCATCAATATCAGGTATAAGATTTCTTTGTTCTTTGATCTCCTTCTTCTTGGACATGTGCTCCCTAATTTCTTCCTTCACATGATCCGAACATTTCTTGCATGCGGTTGTATTTCTATAACCATCAACAAGGTGTTGTTTCACCCTATAAACTCCTCCTTTTGTGACTTTTGAACAAAAAATACATATAAAAGTAGTCAAATCTTGAGGATTTGCCAAAGTAGCATACTTCCATGCCAGATCTTTTCTTGGGCCTTCATTAGACATCTATGTAAAATTGTAATCAATAGAAAAAAAAAACAGAATATTTGAGGGACGGAGCTTACTGTTTTGGATTGGAGAAATTGAAGAAAATAGTGTTGGATTGGAGAAATAGAAAGTGAAGAAGGGATAGAGAAATAGCTTACTGTCTGTAACTTTGTTGGAGTGGAGAAATAGAAATTGAATACTATAACTTTGTTGTCGGAGCTTGCTGTTTTGGATTAGAATAGAAATAGAGGGAAAGATATGCACTTTCTGTTGGATTGGAGAATTAAAAAATTAGAAATAAAGATAGCGAAAAGAATAGAAACACAGAGAGAGCTTACAAATGGAGGGGGAGAGTTGCTCACAGTCACAAAGTCATCGGTGCCGCTCACGCACGACACGACCACCGGCGGCCAGCCACAGGAGATATAGAGAGAGACAGAGAGTGTCGAAATCGAAATAGAGAGAGAGATGCAGTGACTGTTGAGTTTTTTACGTGCATGAGAAGGAAATGAAGAAGACGATACGGTTGAGATTCTTTCCATTTAAAAAGAAAAAAAAAATCAAATTAAGATTGGAAATCGGAAAAGGCGTGCGGCGGTTATCATTTACTCATTCCATTTAATTAAACAGACCCTAAACACAAGGGTTTATGTGTTTAGGGTCTGTACGTTTTATTTTTTATTTTTTAAAAACAAAGCCCATGAAGCCCGCGCTTCATGGGCTTCGAATTTTCTAACGAGGCGTGCACTTTACGCACACCTCATTCAGATCGCCTCGCCTTGAAAAGGCGAGGCGCAATAGGTGGGCATAACGCCCAGGCGCGCCTAGGCACTTGCCTAGGCGTGCCTTTTAAAACACTGGACAAATGCTGATTGAAATTTAGTGATCGTGTAGGGTAACAAAGATTTGAGCCTTTTTGAGAGAATTCTAGTCATGATTTTGTACAAACAAGAGATGGGGCTGATTGCTCGAAAATCCCCAACTTTTTGAGCATCCACTCTTTTTTTGGTATAAGACAAATGTATGTTTTGTTTAAACTAGCATTAATGATGCCATTCTTGAAATGGAACATATTCAGTAGTGAAGCCATTTGGTCCCGGTGTCTTCTGTGTTCCTAAATCATTAACCGCTTTCCATATTTCCTTCTCCATGAAAGGTTTTTCAATCTCTGCACTTTGTTGTGAATAATCGGGCTCCAATCGATGGGATGAAGGAGCAATCTGTTGCCGGGTTTTTTGTGTATAAATTATCAAAGAAGGATAAAAATTTGCTGAAGCCGGGTTTCTTGGTGCAAAAATTCTGCCTTTGGTTGGAGAAAAAAAATAATCTTCAATGCTACATCTCTTCGTTTTGAGGTTTTTTTTATAGGGTTATTGTTCTAGGTATTGGATGGTGTTAATTTTTTATTCCCCTTCCAATAGCTACTCTCTAAGTGCCCTTGCCTCTAATTGGAAGGCTTTCTTGTAATTAGCTACCCTGGCTTTTTGGTTATTTCATACTATTAATGAAATACTTGTTTCTTACCCAAAAAAAAGGAAAAAAGTACGGAGATTGTTGTGGAACAACAAACCAGGTACTTCATCTTTATCTTCTGCAAAAGGGCCATGGAGAACAATCTTAAGAAACCAGGTTCCTGGTTTCTGACCGGTTGGCCTACAAAGTTGGAAACGGTCAAAATATTCTTGTTTTGAAAGACCCATGGCTGAATGGTGATTTGTTGAATTGAAAGTTCCCTCTTTTATTTGATTTGTCCCTCAAAAAAGAGGCAGCTGTAAAGGATTTTTGGCTAGAAGACACAGGAAGCTGGAATTGAGGCTGAAGAGAAACTTGAGGCTGAAGTTGAAGAATGGGCTGCCTAAATACACCTCCTATCTGCCGTACATCTAACAAATGTTACAGATTCCTTCCATTGGAAACTTGAACGAAGCGGGCCTCCTCTCACAAATTCACTTGTCAAATACTTCACCCAAAAGAAATAAGACCACTCCCCTGTGTTATCTGAATCTATATGGAAGGACCCATATCCCGGAAAGGTGAAATTCTTCCTCTGGGAGTTAGGTCACGAAGCTATCAACACAAATGACAAGCTCCAATGTAGATTGTCCTACTTGTCCATTTCTCCAAAATGGTGCTCGATGTGCAAGAAAAGTCTGGAATCACAGCAGCACCTTTTTTTTTTCCCTGCAACCATGCTTCTCACTTTTGGGGGTCCATTCTCTCGGTTTTTGGATGGTCTGTCGCTTTGCCAGCTGATCCTCCTCTCCTTTTGGAAGTAGCTCTTGTGGGACACCCATTCAAAAGGGGGAAGAAACAAACTATGGATGAATTTTTATGGTTCACATGGAAAGAAAGAAATCGAAACGTTTTCAAATAGAAACAATCTTCTGACCGTTTTTTTAAGCCATAGTTTATTTGGTTATTTCTTGGTGTAAATACTCTCTCTTATTCCACCGCTATAGCTTTTTCTACCCTTTTGTCCAGCTGGAATAGTTTTATGTAATCCGTTGTATTGGGCCCACTTTTTGTAGTCTCGTGAATCAATGAAATTGTTTGTTTTATGCGAAAAAAAGGAAATATCTTACAACAATATTGCAGTTTTTCCATATATTAAATTGTCCCTTTCTCTAAGCAATTTACCATCATAAGCTTCCTCAAAGTACCATAAAATCATTGTTCTAAAAGAAAATTCTACCTTAGAACTTGTAAAATCATATCTTCATAAGTTTGTCAGATGGACCTACCATAGAACTGGAATAAATTCTAACCTGCTAATTTTTTCACTAGAGATAAAATTTTATCTTATTTTACAAATTAGTCTGGAAAAGTATTGATAAAAGAGAACAACTCTATATGTTGACTGTTTTTCTTATAATTTAGTTATGAAATCGTAGTCAGTCACTTGGCAAGTGTTGTTTTCTTTACCCATAGGAGATGGTGCTAGACTATGTATATGCTGCCGTAGTTGTTAGCTTAGTTATGTTTTATCTGTGAGTTAATTTGTTCTTTTCTGTCTTTGTTTTTGTTGTCCTTTTTTTCTTGAAAAACTAATTGACCACGTCCAAGATGTAGTTTGTGCTGTTCGTCAACTGATCCTTATGAAGTTTTTTTTTTTATTATTTGATCATCAATTTTAGTGTATGAGTTTATTTGAATGAGGACTTGGCCTGTTATCGTAGAAGCATCAATAATTTGCAGTGTGTTCATTATTTATTTCTTATAATCCACTTGATTTTGCTGATAAATTGAGGCGCTTATGTTCATATTACCTACAAATGTTTGGCTATATGCCCTCAGGTCAAAACTTGAAATGGCAAAAGGAAGCAAGGGACGTCGCAGGATGGCTTCCCGTCAATTCAGGTCAAGCCCATACCCGCTGCCTTGTAAGCGGGATTTCCCAGAGGATTTGTGCCCAAAGAATTGTGTCAGCGCTCTGGATAAGAAGTACTGGGAAGATGCAACATGCTCTGTATGCATGGAGTACCCACATAATGCTGTTCTTTTACTTTGTTCATCCCATGATAAGGGTTGTCGTCCCTATATGTGTGGTACGAGCCTACGATATTCCAACTGCCTCGACCAGTACAAGAATGCTTACACCAAAGTAATTTCATCCAACCATGAACAACCAGTAAGCGCCTCAATCGATAACTCAGCTGTTCAACAGGATTCAAGTTTTCTGGATGAAAAGCATGAAGTGACTGAGCTTGCTTGCCCCCTCTGCCGTGGACAGGTGAAAGGATGGACTGTGGTTGAGCCTGCTCGTGAATATCTGAATGCAAAAAAGAGGAGCTGCATGCAGGACAGCTGCACGTTTGTTGGAAATTACAAGGAAATAAGGAAGCATGTGAGATCGGAGCACCCATCTGCAAGGCCACGAGAGGTGGATCCCATACTTGAACAAAAATGGAGAAGACTTGAGCGTGAGCGTGAAAGGAATGATGTGATGAGCACAATCAGGTCGACAATGCCTGGAGCTGTGGTCTTTGGGGATTATGTCATAGAAGGAAATAATTTTGGATTTGATTCTGATGAAGAGGAAGGGGGATTCACTGCAAATGCTGCGGAGAGGGATGGGGGCTTCGAGGTGGGTTTTGATAGTAATTTGGTGAATGTGTTTCTTCTGTTACATGCTTTTGGTCCATCAAGTAGCGACCTCAACAGACGGCTTAGACAGCCGGATAGGATGATGTTCTCTCCTAGGTCAAATGAAGGTGCTACAGCTACAGGTATTCCCGACACCACTCCACTCAATAGTTTTGGTTCCATCAATCAAGACAGTGATCATGGAAGTGATGATGATGACAATGACAATGACAATGGTGGCGGTATGTCATTGGTTAGCCGCCTCCGACGCCATGGGAGGGTGCTGTTGGGACGTTCGGGTAGGAGACGTAGGCATAGAGAAAGCAATAGCCATAGATGATGAAATTGGGGACAGAAAGGAGGGGTAGGAAACATTTCTCTGGTACATAGCTTAAAAAAAAGAACAGGAAGTTGAAATTTTAATAAGGAATACGAGCCATGGAATTTGCCACTAAAATTTATCACATTGTCCCGTCTCATTGGGAAGATGAGAAGATGGCAGGTTAGCCTGTCTGTAATTTATTGTCAATTGTATAATTTCCTGATTACCTTATCCTCCTGTTGATGAATTATCATTTGCTTGAGATTACTTGTAATCATCTGAAATTAATGTATCTTCTAGACATTGGTTCATTACAAAGTCATTAGACTAATGACACACCAATTTGTTTACATATTCCCTGCTCTGGATTTTCTGCTGTTTAAGGCTCTTCCTTACCATGTATTGGAATGACAATGAATCAGATTGAATATGTAAATGGTATTCTTTTGATGTTGTTCACTTGAAATTAGAAATCAATTCATATTGTTTCCTTGCATGGAAATGGAATCAGACAAATGTTGACTACCCAAATACTTTTATATATTTTGTAAATAATTTATGAATTAACTAAAAAGGATTCCCTGAAAATTTTTATATTAAAAAAATAATTACTTGAAATCAGACTTACTCTCGTTGGGAGCTTGTAGACACTGGTCTACAAGTCATAGAGTGACGGCTAATAAGCTAAGTTAGTATACTAAGACTAAATTTTAGTTCTACTTCATATTTTTTATTTAATAATAATTAATTTTATCTTTATATTTAAGTCTAACAAAAATCTTTTACATTTTGTTTGATAGTATTATTATGTTATTTATTTATTTAAAATGAAAATTTCCTTACCAATTCAATTTAAAATGAAATAATGTCTAGAGTAAAAAGTAAAGAAATAAAAAAGAAACAAAAAATTTAAAATTTAAAAAACTAAATGAGTCTTAGAAGAGGTAGGAGTAGTGGACGAGAGAAATGGAAGAATGTTCCT